CAATATCGCCTCCACAATCCAGGTGACTTCACACGATTTTCTGTGGCAACCCATAGCGTCATGAAGCAGATCACCACCTTATTATCGCTTTTACCACTAGAGTAAAATCTATTGAGCAGCTTCATCTTCCACCTGGAGCTCTGGAACGTTTTCTGAAAGAGCAATTAACCGTAGAGGATTGAAAAAAAACGAACCACAAGCGCCAAGGATGATATCCGGGACTCCGATCGGAGGAGCTGCTGTTGTGGCTGCTCCCTGGCCTGGATTAGTAAGGAAACAGCAGCAGAATTGAGGTTGAGGTGCCGCTGCTTTAATGGAATCGATTAGAGTTTTCAGTTAATCGATTATTGATGTCACTTACTGGTTTCCACTTTCTTTTCTGGAACTGGTACAAGGCACGGTATCGGCACTAGGTATGGCACTGGACAACAACAACAGTTCGGCTGAAGGCAGTTTGACTGAAAGCAATTACAATTTGTAAAAATAGTTGAATATGATAACCAAGAATAAATGTGAGTACCACACAGTCGTGGTTGAATATACTATCAGCAGTCAAAGTGAATGTAGTTGACTTTTGTCCAACAATCTCGAAGAAGTAACGGAAGATGTAAGCGAAATTGGGTACTGTGCACTCGGGGGGGGGTGGCCGGATTTGGGGGGTATGCCAGTTATCATTAACGTGAAGACCTGTAAACTCTTGTGAAGGCACTAAGGTGCTCAGCAAAGCTTGTACGGGCTATTTTGTGAAGACCACGAAACTCTCAAACTGAATTCAGACCCCGTGGACCGCTTTGACTGCCGTCATAGCGCCTCAGCCCCCACAAACACAGCCACAGGGGGGGGGGTGTAGAAGGCCTAGAGTACGGTCGCAAAACAGCAACCTTGCTATTTTACAACGCCTACTCTAGCCCGTACTGCCTTTTGGGAAACTAAAGAAACTTTTGGGAGCTGGGTCCCCCCCTTCGGTTCCTCCTAACGCGGTGGCTCGCGAAAAAGAAAAATTGACAAACAAAAAAATTTTCAGGCCTTATGTATGCGCACCCTTGATGGGTGTCCGCAACGAACGACCAGAACTGCGCCAATCACACAGCCTATGCCATCCTATTCTCCTATGCTCACCAAAACATCAGCGGCGATGGCGACACTACCGATCGAGTCTGTGACTGTTCTTTCCTTCTCTGGCTGCCCTCACGCTATAGCTGCGTTGACATGCCTTGATACGCGTCATAGCTAGTCACGCGGAGTCTAAACGCAGTCTGCTACAGCCACACATGATGAAGCTGATAAAGGTTCGTATGTTAATGGGGTTAACATATCTTTCCCAGGTTAGAAAGGAAAATAAGAAGCAATAAGCGATTCAGCTCAAACTCCCTCTACCCTAGCTAAAGAAGCGCCCAAATTCGATGTTCAACTCATCCGGGTTGAGCAAACCTGCGCTTTGACGCTCTATCTTTCAGTTTTCTAATGGCAACGGCAAAAGTGGTAAAAGGTTGTCCACTGGAGCTCGCGCTATTTCCCCCTACTCATAGCTCTAATCTTCGAAAGTACTCGTAAAAAAGACCTTCGGAAGGAACTCACCATCATAAAAGATTGGGCCATTTGAAGCAGCACAGTAAGGCATAGAAGTTGTCGAAGGACCATTGCGTAGGCGGGAGGACAAATTTACTAAATCTGACAGCTTTAAAAAGAACGTATACAACTGATCTGTACCCGAAAGGGTGAGCTCTGATTTGAAGGAATATTAGACGTCATAACTTCGAGTGGCTCTTACTCGCTGGTTCTGCGCTCCTTCAGCGAAGAGCCGCGTGCTAATAAGGAAGCTAGAACAACCATGTAGTTCCAATCCTTTCACCGCCACCGACTGACGGATTCTGTTATTGAACATGGACTGTTTCCCGATAGTTGCTGTGCTGGCCAGGCACGCATTTCAACATGTCCGTACAGAAGACGAATTCATGGCTCATCCAGAATGCACAACAGTAGCATATTGAGTAGTTGGACACCTTGGCTACCTTGTAGGGATGTAATCAAATAAATAAACAAATTAAGAGGTCCGATTACGCAATTCATTCATTATTTATTCTGAATGTAAAACACATAAAAGAGGCGCTAAAAATTTTATTGCAAAAAAACTCAAAAGATGCAAAAAAATCCATAAAATTCCTGGAAAATTTTCATTGTTAATATTAAATTTATGAAACATACTATCAAAAAATTCTCTCGTGATAAGTTTTGGATTCTTTTGAATTTTTCTTTGCAATGAAAATTTTTGGCGTCTCTTTTATGTGTTTTACATTCAGATTGCAATGAGGCTCCGGGACAAGCACAATTTTAAGACATTATTTATTTGTTTATTTTACATTCTCACGGTAAACTTATATACAATCGCTTATTAAATGTACAAAATCAGATCATGAATCAGGAAACAGTTGAATCAATAAGTTAACCGAATATTCCGCCTCCTAACATCCCAGTGCCTCCTAAGCCGTATATACCACCGAAACCCGGGTTAAAGTTGGACACACTGTTAGGACAGCAAGCTGGAACGCAGGCGTTCAGGATAAACGTCGAAGGGGTGGTTGTTGTTCCTGTTATCGCCGCTCCTGGACAAGGACCTGAAAAATATGTGATACGTTCTAGCTAAAAAGTGATCGATAATAAGGGCTGCTGATAAAGAAAAACAGCATGTTTCAGAGAAGTTAAGGAAGTTAAGGTAAATTCTGCGTGCCATACAGTACGAATTAAGGAAAAAGGTAGCTTTGGTGCGTGGTCGAAGAGCTCGGCGGATGCACCCGGCTGCCGGATACTGCAGAAGGCACTGGAAGTCAGGCTTAATGCGTGTAT